ATATAAATTAAAAGGTATGAATCCAATGTTATTCACTGCATATCAAGCTAATTTAATAATTTTTCTGATTACTAACCATTGTTATCATTGTGGGAAGAATTTTAATCTCATTATTAAAATATTAAATAAAAAATAATGACTAATTTTATAATTTTTCATTGATGAAAAGTTTATTTTTTTTTAATAGATTTATTAAATAAATTCAATTTATATTTTCATTTATTTTTTAAATTAAAAAAAAATAGTTAATAAACACATATATGCTTAGTTAGTCAGCAACTTGATCACCTTTCATGTTTTCCTATCTATACATTTATTCAACAATACCTAATCTAAAAATTTACCTTTGGTTCTTTTATTATTTTTTAATCATGTATATTGAATTTTATTTTTATCTATTGGCTTATTGCAAGCATAGAAATTAAATGCTTATATTTACTTACACCATTCAGTTGAATTTTCTTTCTTATAGTGTCATTTTTTATCATTTGTTCATTTTCAAATTTTGAAAAAGGAAAAGGTAAAGAGTTATTTATTTTTAATATCAAAGGCTTCTACTACACTATTTTGTTAAAAGGCAATAACAAAATGGCTTTTACTCATAAAAGTAACCAGTATAAGATAATTATAAAATCCTAAAACAGTTATTAATGCATCTTTTATTTATTATGACTATAATATGTAAGTAGAGAGAAATATTTTTAGGAGTGATAGCAAACCTTATGAGTTACAAAAATGATTTATATTAATAACGATCCGATTTTCAGCAGAAAAATAGGAAATTTCAATCAAATTTGTGTTGTTTTTTTTTCGTTTTTTTTTTTTAAAGTAAGTCACATTTTTGTTAAATAGGAAGCTATAACTAAAAAATATTTAATTTAAATAATTAAGAATTATTTCACTATAAACTAGACAACATTTTCTTCAAATGAAAATAGAGTTTGTCATTATTAAAACCATTTAAAGAGGATTTGTTAACTAAACTAAGCTAAGTTATGTTTTTAAAAAAATCATAAATTATTCTTGATTTTTTCATCCTCCTCCTGCTATACTATAAATACACTACTTTTAGAAAAACTCCCTCGTTTTATAAGTCCTTAGTAATGAAGTTGAGATTTACTAGGCAAAAACTTGAGATTCACCTCAAGTTGTTTAAAAAAATTATTTGATTTTATATCCTGTCATCTAAAAATACCAGTATTTTAACAAAAATTACTACAACAAATTATTGATAAGATTTATTTTATTTTTTTATATATTATGTGGGATGTATATATAATAATAAATATACACGCGTAAACTCACTTTTTATTTCTAAAAAAAATTAAAATAATGCTTTTTCGTAAGTGGTTTTGAACATGTTGTTTTTTACCAAAAAATGTTTTATTTATAAGAGAAAAAATAAATGTTTTTAGTTCTAAAATTTAGGTTTAAAATGAAGAAATCTGCTGATTACTTCAGTTATTTTCATGAAAACATAAATTTTAGGATCAGGAACATATAGTTAATCACTTATAAATAAGGTTCAACTCCCACAATAGAGATCTGGATGAAAAACACAGTTTCATAACAACTTTACATGAAAAAAAATAATTTGAAAAATCATTATTTTAAAAATTTATATATATAAATTGTATTTAGAAAATTATAATACATCCCAAATTATGTAGAAAAAAAAAAATAGATTTGCAACAATTTATTGTAGTCATATTTGCTGAAAATACTATCACAACAACAGTAGTAGATATTTTGCTTCTGATCAACAGGGATGAAACCATTTTGTTGATAGTTTTGGGGGTTGTATTACCATTTTCATAACGTTTCACAATAAATTTTACTTAACATTAGATGAAACATCAACAGATTATTAAATTTAAAAAATATAACAAATTGGAGGTTTTGGTATTTTTTATGCTTATATTATTAAAAATATTTATTAGGAAAATGTTTATGTAAAGACAATTTTTATGTAAATTTTAAAATGCCTATACATTTGAATCATGTCCTTTTATTTCTATTTTGATGACCTACAGAAGGTTTTGGTTGGTAGACATCCTATTAATAGCTTCATGTTCAGATATTTCTCATACCTATTTGTATTATCTTCGATTCTAAAAGAGTAAATGACTTTACATTGATTATGTAAAGCAGTTTTAGATAAAAAAGTAACAGTAATATTTTTTCAATTAATGCTTTATCCCAAACCTGATCCTAAGATTTTTAGAAAAAAAAAAATATTTTTTCCGGTTTTTCAATAAATATATATCACTGTATTTTATTTCGATTTTTTTTTTTATTATGGTTCTACTAGAAGTCATCCAGGCATTATTTATTTATTATATAACACAAAAGTAAACATATATTTTGAGAGAAACAAAAGACTCATCAATTTTATACACTGACAGGCAAAAAATTCCACCCACTTGATTTTTCATCTAAAAGTATTTCTGCTTTGGATTGGTCTATTGTTTTTAATGAATAAATAGGTAATCTTTTTGTTTGTTTTCAATTAGGAATGTTAATATAGAGGACAATAACCCTTAATCCTTAATTCAATAAAATGATTCTAGATTCCAATGTTTCCAAGATTCCAAAACGAACCATTACTATTCTAAAAGAAATTAATTACATCATCGTTTAGTAGCGTGTGTTTCCTCCTCTTGCCTTCACTACTTCTTGAAGATGCCTCGGCATACTTTCCACCAGTCGGGAAATTTCCCTTTGCTGGAGGATAGCCCATTCCTCCCGAAGAGCCCTTTTAAGGTACTGCAGTGTATCAGGAAGTGTTGCACGTGCTCTTATTCGTCTTCAGAGGTTATCCCATGAATGCCCAATGGGGTTCAAATCTGGAGAACGTGCTGCCCAGGCTAAAACCTCAATATTGTTCTGTTGAAGGAACGTCTGCACTATGCGGGCGACATGTGGGTGTGCATTATCTTGCATTAGAATTGAACGATCGCCGATTTCGTTGAGGATAGACAACACATGAGGTTCCAAAATCTCATCTACATAGCGAATGGCCGTCAAAGACCCTCCACAAACAACAACCAATTCTGTGCGGTGCTCCATTGAAATTTCAGCCCACACCATTAAGGAACCACATTGGAAAGGTTGGCTCTGAGAAAAATTACAGGCTGCATATCTTTCATTTCTTCTTCTCCACACCCTTTCACGCCCGTCTGGAGATCGAAGAACGAATCTTGACTCATCTGTTGTAAAAAGTACAGCACTCCATTCGTCCATAGTCCAATGGCTGTGTTCTCAAGCAAAAGCCAGCCGTGTTACTTTGTGAGTTCTGGTCAACTCTGGTCCTCTTACTGGACGAAAAGCCATTAATCCATACTCATTTAATCTTCTCCGAGCGGTACGTTCAGAAATTTGCACACCTCGAACTTCTTCGAGCTGATGAATCGCTTGAACAACGGTAAGGTGCCGGTTTCGTAAAATTCTCAAAGTCAAAAACCAGTCATCCCGTGGTTCTGTTACCCTAGGCCGTCCAGAACCGGGCCTTCTATTGTAAGAACCAGTTTTCTGAAAACGCCTGACGGCGTCTCATAAAGTTTCATATGGAACTCCCATAACATTAGCTGCATATCTAATGGAACGTCCATCATCAATAACTGCCACACCACGTGCAACATCCTCAGCACTAAGAGGCATTTTTAAACTTAATATTGAAAAAATTAAAAGCCGGAGACTAAGAAATGTGCTGCAAGAAACGGCACTGAACTAATGATACTGAATAAACATTTTGATTCCATAGAAAGTAAATATTGGAATCTAGAATCATTTCATTGAATTAAGGATTAAGGGTTATTTTCCTTTATATTAACATTCCTAATTGAAAACAAACAAAAAGATTACCTATTTATTCATTAAAAACAATAGACCAATCCAAAGCAGAAATATTTTTAGATGAAAACATGAAAAAATCAAGTGGGTCGAATTTTTTGCCTGTCAGTGTATATGGACTATAATGTCTGTAAACTCTTTACAGGCACTAGCATAGTTTACAGACATTATGGTCAATATATAAAATTGATGAGTCTTTTGTTTCTCTCAAAACATAAGTTTACTTTTGTTTTTATATAATATGCTAACTGTTTAAATACATTCAAAATGTTTAATAAAAGAAAAATTTATAAACAATTAAGAAGAAAATTTTCCAAAAATATTCGTATGTAATAAGTTTTTCCTGTCATATAATCGCATTTCATTAAATAAACAAATATTGTAATTTGGGTTAGTTTGGAAGAGTATACCTATAGTAGTAAGCGACTCTTTTAATCTTGCATTAATTTTCTGCCCTCTTTCCTGGCCCAGAAAACACTCAATATAACCTAAGTCAAGGAAGGGGTGGAAAAAATAATAATTTAAAACAATTCCTGAAATCTATTGCTCCATGATTGATGGGGTGGCATATTTAGTTATTAGCCATATTTTAACTCCTCTCACCCTTAATTTTGATTTGCAAAATTGAGATGCTATTTGTGTTGCGAATAATCATTGATTTACTCCATCAAGGATTTGGGAACTCCATTTCAAATTTCAATTTCTTAAAAATATTAACCAAAGGTTTCTTGAAACAAAATAAATAAAGTAAAAATCTACATATATTTTATTTTAAAACTAACAAATATTTTGCTGTTTTTAATTTTGTTTAAAAGAAAATTCAAATTGTTTATAATATTTAAAAAAAGATAATCAAAACATAGCTGTCATATCTCACACTTCTCCAAATCATCATTAAATATGATAAATTATATAATCAAACACCTGATTGAGTACAAGCCATTTTTATTATTCTTAAGTAGTTTTGTTTCCTTTTTCATTTTCGAAAATCTTTCCAATTTAGGATTCCTCTTGTTTCTTTTTCTTTTTCTTGCTGCCTTAAGACACAGTAATTGCTTGTATTTTTATTTTCATTTAATAATTTTATCATCATTCCTATATTTTCATTTATTTTATTTAACGACTAAGGTTTTATTTTATCTCTGTAGGAGTCTTTTGCAGTACATAGATGAGGAACTCATACAAAGGTATATAGTATATATTGAGTAATATCTGCATATTTCTAAGATAATTTTTTCCTAGAATTATATTTAAAAATTATTAGTGTGCATTTTCTATATTTTTGTAAACATTTTTGAGGACTTGGAGAAGCAATTATGTTTTATTATTACTATGCAGAAATTGACAAGTTTTTCAATTAGAATTTTGTACAACACTCTCATAACTTTTGTATTTTATTTCGTGTAAATTTTATATGATTGTTGAAATTCACTTTGCTAAAACCAAATTCTTAGACATTGATTCACACCAAGAAATTCCTCTTACTTATAGTTGAAAAATATCAATTTTTTTCATCAAATATTTGTATTATATGAATGATGACATTACTATTTTATGTCATAATATACATGGCATTACTATCTAATATTATAAGACTGTTATAGGGTTTTAGCATCTAATAAAATGTTAGCCATATTCATTTAACATAATTAAAGAGTATTCAGCTATCTTTTTGGCCTAAATTTAAAAATTATTCTATAGGGAGTTATGTAATTAAATGATATTTTTCTAGAATTTAACTTTGCATTATATAATTCTATTGAATTATAAAATCAGGAAAAAATTATCTTTACGGTGATAACAATTTAATTTTTAGTTATTAGGTTTAAATGCTCATTACAAGTATGAGTTATAAATTATATACAATGTAAGTTATGGTCTCGTAATCTGATTTTTAAAAATGAGAATACATAACATAAAAGACTTATATTAATTAATAATTAATATAATATTATTTTAATAATTAAAAGATGACTTATACTCTTATTTTCAATTAAGGACTCTTTGTTGTTATTTCTCTAATGCTTTATGCCAGTTTTGCCCTATTTACCTCTCAAATGTGTTCTGGACATTAAGACTGTTTTCTTCTTTGTTTTTTATTTTATCTAAAAGGAAATTGATCATCTTCATTTTATTTAACTATCATTTGTTTAGGTATTTATTCTTCCATCCTCATAGAAATCTTATATTAATTCTGACAAGAAATAATGGTTTATATAACTCTCTTATTTATTTTTTTTTTTTTTTGTATATTTTTGATAGTTTGGAAAATTTACCTCTTTAATTTATCAGTGTTTAAGATGTTCTGATATTTCCTTATTGCATTAAATAATTTTATTTTATAAATGCATGTTTCCCAGTTTTTACACAATGTTATGTATGCGGAGTTTCATTTTATTTATTTAGCAGTTTTTATTTTCCTTGAATTTTAATTGATCTTTGGTCAATCAATCTTTAAATTCCTTATCTTATAGTTGCTTGTTTAAAATATTTACTGTTGATTATGTTTGTAGCTTGTATAAAATGTTAGTATTATAAAGTAAATTTTACTTCTATTTTACTGGAGTACTACAGTTACATTGAATATAATATTGAATTAATATAAAACACCATTAGTCGTCAAGTTGTATTATCTCCTTGTTATTTATTTTTTGTAGAAAGTCTTTTGAAAATAAACTTCAGCTGAGCTAATTACTTGCAGGCTAAATAATTGCTTAAACATAGTATTTTCGGAAACTAACATTATGTTTTGAAAACTGCAAAATAAATGTCTTGCTTGTTTTATTAAAATTTATTTTTTAGTTAGTTGTTTTATATGGAATCTTAGTGATAACACGACATATTTAACTTCTAATTATTTTTCATACGGTTGATGTTTTAATAACTGCATGCCTAGGACATTTTTAGATTTTATATTCCATTGCCTTTTTTAAAATGTATTTTTAAAATTACATTTTTCCAAACCATTATGAACAACTGAAGTTAGATGTGTGCCCAACGAGCTGAGTTGAATTGAGCTAATTTCGAGTTTTTCAATTTTTTAAAACTATTTATATCTTCGTTTGTATTTCATTAATTATTCTTCATCTTCTTCAATTAATTTACTATCTAACTTCCCTCCTACCTAAAATGTATGTAAACAATCATTCTGTTGTTAATCTTCCAGAATTTTTTTATCATGCAGATCACTTTCATGTTCATCAGATTTGGTATTGCCCCTATAAAAAAAAAATAATGTTGTGGACATTATATTATTAATATTAGCAAGATTGATAATTATAAATAACAAAAATGCCTGAAAGATCATAGTACTAAGTAAGGATTGAATTAATTATATTAATTCAAGTTGCCTACCAGAAATCTCTATTAAAAACTAACAGAATAAATATTGTGAAGCTGGATCTCTCAGATGGATTGAGTATGCTGAAGGGTTTATTATTTATTATACAGGGTTAAGTGTCCTAAGTGAAAATTTGAATTAAGGATCTCAAACAAGAAACAAAATTCCTGTGAAGAAGGTATGTTAATGCTTTGATTAGGAAATATTCATGTCTAAAGATTTTCATTGCTATGAATTATTTAGAATATAATAAATAAATTAATACGTTTTCCAACTACTTTATTATTAAATTATAAACAATAACACTCATATTAAATGTTATTCAAAATGATTACCTTGAGCATTAAGACAGGCTCGTCATTTTTCTTCCACAGCAGCAGTGGCCGAAAGGCACTGGTGTACAATAACAATATTGTGTTCTTTTCTGCTGCAAGTTTTCAATTATCGTTTGACATTTCATTAATAAAGTAGTTGGAAAACATGTTAATTTATTTAATATGTTAATAATTATTATTAGTTATTAAATCATTCATAAAAATGAAAATCTGTTTTAGACGTGAATATCTTCTAAACAAAGCGTTAACAGACTTCCATAAAAAATAAGGAATTTTTATTATTGTTTTAAGATCCCGAATTCATATTTTCAGTTAAGACACTTTATCCTGAAACACTGTGTATAAAAAAAAAAGTTTTCAATAAAGAAAATCATACATTTTTGAGCCTTACTAGTAAAAACAATAATAATAAGACACTTTAGAAAATAAATCTTACAATTTTAATAATGTGTCGAGGAATTGCCTTTTAGTCCTATAATTATTTTACTGTGACCTATGCTTTTTTACTATTGTGATAATAATGTATAAATAAATATTTTTTACTTTTGAATTGAATACTTTCTATCAACTTTCAGCATTAGTGCGGTTGAGTATAGCCTCTAGTAGAGGTCAGTTTTAAAGATATTTGAATGATGAGGATATATTATGATTAATTTCTTAATTCAAATGTTGAACAGAGAAATATTTAAGTTGTTGGTTAGTTGATGTAATTAATTTACTGGTCATTTACACTTCAAATGCTTAAAATTTATTACGTAAGAATTTAGTTATGCATTTTTGGTTAACTTTTCCAATAGGTGAAAAAATGTACTTTATATAATTTACCTCAAATAAAACATTTTTTAAATAAATTTTGACCAACTTAACAGAAAGACCTATATTAAAGAATACTATTAGTAATGTATTTAAATCATTTATCTATTAGTATTAAATTGCATACCTTTTTTTTATTTTAACAGGATACGTGGGATAAACAGGTTAGTGTTAAATAAGCTTATTCTCTAAACATGAGCTGACATCAACTATTGCATGTTTTATACATAATTGAAATCTATTCATGCTATTAATTAAACTGTTAAAACTTCTACTAAAGCGCCTGAATTATTCGTTTTTGAGATTAGCAATTTTTTCAAAATCATTTTATTTATGTCTTCTGAATTTTTTTATCTACCTGATTTAATTTTCAGCCAACTTTACTTCCTTAATAATTTTATTTTATTAGTAAAAACAAAAACACATTATTTTATTTAAGTTTCGGGGAATTATTCTCCATCTTATTAACAATAAACAGTCACAAACTCCTTTTTCCACCAAATAAAATTTCCATACATTAGTCATATTATAATTAATTAAAACATTAAAGGAGTATTCTGTCACATCGCTACAGGTTTGTCACACTATCAGAGGACTGGACTAATAAATGGAATAAGTGGAAATGGCAATTTAAAATATTATTTATGAATTAATGAAAATTTAATTACGAATAATTAAAATTTTATATTAAAAATTTATATTCAACAAATTGTTCTGAATCCTCGTCATTTACATGGAAAGAAATTTATTTAGGTATACAAATAAATATTACTGTTTAAAGTGGGTCAAATCTTTTGTTGTTTATGCTATAACTTGCATTGTAAACTGTATTTAAAAATTATAAAACAGCATAGTTTATGATTGAGTAACCATCATTCTTATTATGAGGTTTATGCATATTTTAGTTATTATTGTTTATTGTATTCTTCAAGCAAGAAATTTATTTTCTAAAAAGTTCTTTAGATAATGTTTTCATGGACCTTTAAAAAGTCTTAAAAATTTGAGAAAGTACTTTATCTGATGAAATTTTCTCCTGAATTATTTTGAAAAAATAGTTCTAAGAATTGTCTGTATAATATATTTTTTATTTCTATACCTGCCATCATAGGAGGCATTATTTATTATTAACAATTTTCAATAAATAGTTTTTTGAAAATCCATGAATTGAACGAATATGTTTACTGAAAGTTTCCTAGTTAAAACAATAAATATTATGTCTAATATATAATATATATGATGAAATATGCCTAGCTAGATAAATGCCTGAAGCTCAGCTAGAAGCCCACCTCCCCACCACCCCTGTGAAGATGTTTTGAATGCCCCTATATGAATGATCCATTTAATCAGTTCTCCTTCCTCCTACCATTTGTTACTTCCATAGAGCCAACATAGCTGTCTCTATTATTGAATAACTAATGTCCTATCATTTATAATCTTTTGATGGGATGGGGGTATTTTAGTTACAGTTTTTAATAATTTTCTTAGAATTTTTATAAAATTATCAATAATGCTGTACATATTAAAGATTTTTAATTAGCCTTTTTTCAGGATAACAAGTTTTACCTGTTATTAAAGTATTAGTTTTTCAAGAAACATTTCCTCACAATTTGATAGATTTGAATTGCGAGATATTGTTTTTGTTTTTTCAAAGTAATGCGTTTAGACTGAAAGAAAAATTGAATTATTTTATTAGGGGAAGCGAAGGGCTGTCGCTGTATGAAACATCAATGAAGTACAGTCAACAGTAAGTATTTGTGAACATTACTTAGAACTTTTTTTGGACTTTTTAACTTATTAACATTTCTGGCATCTTCAACAATTTGGCAGCTTTCTCTCACTCTTTTGCTTCAAATTTTAAATGCTTGATTTTAATTTACTTTACCTATTTCCTTCTTGTACTTCATGTATTTTTAGATAATCTTATGAGTTAGATTGTATTTAGATTTATTTTTTCAAATTGTGTCTTGATTAGTTTGATATTTACATTGTACTATTTTTTTTACCTCATTTGATTTTGTTGTATTGATTACTGGTATTATAAATTTTTAATCCAAATGTTTATGGTTATTATATTTCTTTGAATTTATTTAGTTATTATTTTTGAAAATTGTTTATTTTTTTTGTTTAATGTTGATTGTTCAATATAATTTACAGGTTTTTATTTATTTATTTTTTTATAGCCAAAGATTAAAAAAAATAGAAGTAATTATGTTAAAATTATTTACTTATATTGAATCAAAATTACTTTAATATATGAGTTTATTGGAATCGTTGTGATTAAACTGTATGAACTTTTATTTTCTTATTTGATAGATACTAATTATAACTTGAATTTATGTTTTTCTATATACAAGTTAGCTAATCTCACAAATTATATTATGCTTTTTAAAGTAATTTCTCTGTTTGTATTCAAATAAGTGTAATAATTCTGTGACATTTAGTTTTAACGGATCAATCCATTTTCAAAAATTTTATAGGCGACACTAAAACATATGATTGTGCTCTATTTGACCTAACCTAATAAGTTTGACCTAATCTATTTTTATGTTGGACTTCTGTGCTTGCAGTTTCGTCATTGCTAAATTTAGATTATACCTCTCCGTGAGTATATGACTAATTTGAGGTGACTAAATTTTAACATTAGTGAAGCGGGGCACCATTGACCGGGGATGGGGTTCTTGATTAAAAATGGTCCAAACATTGGACCTAATTTTTTGTTATAATAATTAATTGTACTTAACAATAATCTGCTGCAAATATATTCAGGTAACATAGTATTCAGCCGAAATAAGGTTGATAATGTAGTTCTAAAGGTGATTTTTAAGAGCGAATAATTAGACATAAAATTTATTTCTTCAATAATAACAGAGTTTTTATGACTGAGATATTTTGTGCCAGCAGTTTGTACACAATCAAGTATTGCGCTGAATATTCAGACCGAAAAAGGACGAGTCAACCAGAGAATTTAGGCGGTTACACAATGCTGAATTGCGTGAACGGTATCCGGTTAATATAATTGAGGTGATTAAGTTGAGGCGAATAAAATGGTCATGTAAAATCTCTGGGCTTAATAACGAAAGAATTCCTAAAAAAATAATATGTGATGTACCGGGCTGGCAAGTGTCCAAGGAGTAGACCAAAGCGAAGATGGGTAGATTGCGTTAAGGCTGATTGGGCAGGGTTGGGTTTAGACATCGATTGATGGTATCGGTATCGAACCTTCGAATTCGCTAAGCCTTATTATAATTATTAATAATAATAGTCAAAATGTTTGATCTTCCTTTCCACTACTTTTTTTTATTTTAATTTACATATGAAGTTTTGTAATAAAGTTATTCCCAACCTATCTAAAAAAATTTAACACTCTTAACATATAAGGTTCTAAGAGAAGTATATATTTCATAATTTTAAGAGGAAAACCAGATGCTACAACAATATTTATCTGTAATATCTTTAATAATTTAATCAACTGTTATATTGTTACAGTCCCCCTCTGCTGGAAATGTCCGCCTTTGGTTTGCCAGCAGGGTCATTTGAGAAAAAGTTCATGAATGTTAGTTCCTAGTTTTGGAAATGACCTTCTGTTCTTTTCAGGTTTTGTGACTGTATATTTTTAAGATCTCTTCTGCGGAACATGGTGAATTGAGACAAGTGCCATTGACCTAAGACTAGGCCATTTCTTCATGGGTCTGCTATTTCGTTGGTGGTGTTGCTCAACCTTTTTTTTTGTGACATAAGCACCGTTTGACATAATTTCCTGGTACTTATTTCCTCAATTATTAGAGTTTCTCGTCTTTTGGTTAGCATGGGTGTTCTGTCTGTTTCGAGCTTTGATTGTTCTTTCTCAGGGTGTGTAAATGATATTTAGCTGAAAGTCTTGCACATGAAGAGTCCACTTTGCAAGTATTTCTGTAGGAGACCTTATCTCATAAGCGATTTTAGGGGCTGGTGATCCGATCCAATAGACAGTTTTGATCTTTCAGTGTAACCTCTGATTTTTTAAAATTTTAACCCAGACGACTGCCAGAACTTTACTCTCAGTAATGCTATAATTCTTTTCAGCAGCAGTGAGTAAGCGACTAGCATATTTGATTGAGTGTTCTTCACCTCATTTGCTTGAAGAAGTACGTACCGGGTGCATAATCACTGACGTCCATCCTTAAAATAAATGGATCTTCATCTATTTGTTTAAGGAAGGGCAGATATATTAAAAAAAATTTCAATTGATTGAATGAATTTTGGTGTTCTATTATCGATTGCCTAGTATCTGCTTTCTTTGTTAATCTTGTAAGTGGTTTGGCTATAGCTGCGAAGTTTCTCATAAATTTTCTAAACCGTGAACAAATCTGGAAGAATAATTGAAGTTGTGTAAGACTTGTCAGAGGAGGAAGTTCAAAAATAGCAATTATTTTTATCAGATCGGCCTTAATACCCACTGAAGTAATCAAGTGACCAAGATATTTAACTGATTTTCATCAAAATATACTTATTTTCACAGTATAATTTAAGTTCATTGCTTTTATTTATGACTCATCTTCTATAGAGGTACGTACTGCAGGTGTGTGATCTTCCTCAAGTTGTATTGAGTGCTTGATAAAAGGTATTAGGTCTCCCCTTTCTCCGAAGTTGTTCGCATAATTGTTTAGTTTATTAGAACAGACGTTTCTTTTGATGTGTTTGAAGAATATTCCTTCTTTAGAATGGAGTTGAAAATCTTTGATAGACATGTTGCCTGATAAAAGATCATTATCATAAAGATAGGTTCTGAGTGGTTGATCACCTAAGTGACAAGAATTTTTGGCTATGTTTATAACCATTTTAGCAAAACAAATAAAATCTGTGCCTAATATGGTTTGTGCGTTGCAACTATTTCTAGAGTGTATACATAATAATTTTTGTTAAACTGTCAACAAAAGGGTAGGACAGAGCTTCAGATTTTTTATGGTGCTTCTTATGGCACCAGTGTAAATCAAGGCAGTTTCTGTTTGATTGTCAACAACAATGTTTAATATCCACTGCATGTGTTGTGACTATGTAATTATATTCATCTAAACCTGAGTCTTCATCTGTGCTAATGAATTTGTATACCCCTTTCTTGACAGGGTAATAAATCTCAAGAGTGTGGTCTGTATTGAATTTTGTTAACCTCTCGTAAACGTGCTTGAAAGTTCAAGAAGTCTGACACAAGTTACATTTGCAATTGTGACTATTTTTACTCGTGATATTTTTGTATATATGTAGTTATAGAATTTTCAATCGATTGATAACACTTTGGAAATTTTCAATTGACTCCCTTGGAACTTGTTGAATTATAGGAGGATAGTAGAACGTAATAAATATTTATTTGAATGTCAACACAGATACTGTATAGAAGTTAAGAGATATTTTTTCAAAACTAAATAGTCAGTCTGAGGGTTTGGAAAAAATTGATAAAGTGTATAATAAGTAGGCTGCATTATATTACAAGTTTCTTTAAGTAAAGTAATTCTGTTAGACCAAGAGGTTATAGAACTTGTGTTACCTTGGTACCAGTCAGCAGTTAACTAACTAACTCCATAGCGCTACAGACCGGTGTGGTCGTTAGCCGCCTCAAAATGAGCCCTCGTCAGATGGCTCTATCTTGCTCAGTCGCTAGCCAGTTGCGGGTATACAATACTTCTCTGTCATCCCAGATGACGGCGTCCTCCAATCTTAGACGTGGCCTGCCCTTCCCTCTTGTCCTGCAGAGCTTCCCATCAAGCAACTTCCTTGAGACTTCCTCTTCTGGCATTCTGGGCACATGGCCAGCCCAATGTAGTCGCCCCAAGCTTGATGCATCTCAACACATCTGTCTCCCCATACAGATCATATAGGTCCCTGTTAGTCCTCCTTCTCCAATCATCACCGACCTTAACAGGTCCAAAGATACACTGAAAGATCTTCCTTTCAAAGATTAGTAAATCTTTTCTTCTTAGCTGGAGAGGGTCCAGCTTTCCGATCCATATGTGAGAACAGGCCTAATGAGGGTCTTATATATGAGGCATTTCGTATGATGGGAGATGGCAGAGCTTCCAAGGTGTTTGTTGAGACCAAAATAGCACCTGTTTCACTTATTATTCACTGGTTGACCTCCAGTAATATTCTATTTTCACATCTTACAATAGCTCCCAAATAGGTAAACTGGTTTACACTGTGGAACGTAAATGGGCCCATAACCAGCAGTACTCATACTGCGGTCTCGGTTTCAGGTCCTGCTCGCATATTCATTGTCTTTTCCTGTTTATACTCATTCTCAAAGCTTCTGCCACTTCAGCCAACCTTAAAAATGCACTTTTAAGAGACTCCAAGGAATGTACCATCAGCTCTAGATCGTCAACAAACCCCAGTATTTGCGTTAATCTGTTAAAGATGGTGTCGGTAGTCTGGATCCCCGAGTCACGTATCACCTTCTCCAGAGCCAGGTTAAACAATAGGCAGGCTAGCCCATCCCCTGCCTAATTCCTCGTGTGGAAACAAATTCAAGTGACAGGTCCAATTATACCCGAACAGTGTTCCTAGCATCATCCATAGTCATCTTGATGAGGCGGACAATTTTTGGGGGAACTCCAAGGTCACACAGGTCTACATACAGTTGAGGTCCCTTGATGCTGTCGTATGCACTCCGGAAGTCAATAAATAGGTGATGGGTCATCATCCTGTACTCTTGAGACTTTTCCAGTATCATACAGAGGCTAAAACTGTAGATCTTCCTCCTCTGAACCCTACCTGATACTTACCAATCTCTCTCTCAGCAAACGGGAGGAGTTTGCAGTAGATAATGTTTGAGAGGATCTTATATGCACACTGAAGAAGTGAGATCCCTTGGTATTTGTAGCAGTCGAGAATATTACCCTTCTTGTGTAGTGGATAAATTATTCCCTTCTTCCACTGATCTGGCATTTTCTCTTCAATCAAAATTGTGAAGATGATGTCGTAAAGGCTCGCTGGAATTCCTCGCCACCATGCTTGAGAAGCTCCGAAGGAATTCTATCCTCTCCTGGGGCTTTGTTGTGGTTTAGCCTGTTGACTGCTTCAATAGCATCCTCACATGTCATCGGTGGGTCTGGGGAGTCCAGGTTATGTTCAACACTTGGGATTATGAAATCGTCCGGACCATTTGCAGTCTCGTTTAGAAGTGTATCAAAGTGATGAGACCATCGGGCCAAAATCTGCTCCTTCTTTGTGATCATGGAGCGGTCTTCGTTTCAACATAATCGTATCCTTGGTTTGAATGATGTCCTACTCTCCATCTCCTCTAGCTGTCGCCTTTCCCGTTCTCTCTTCTTTCGTCTATGTAGTCTCTTCTTCTCGTGTGCCGCTTCTGAAGCATGTTTTTGTAGGCTTTATTTTTTACATTCGTAGCAATTGCTCACTCCGCATCAAACCAAGGGGACCTAACTGCTCGTTCCTCTATCCCTATAACTTCCTTTGCTATTTCTTTAACAATTCGGGATAGAGTTTTCCACTGTTCATCTGCAGAGCCCTCTGGCAAGCCTGCACCTGTCACCCTTTCATCCAACGTTCGGTAGTAGCGTTCACTGACTTCTGGATTCTTAAGCTTGGATATCCTGGCTCTGATCCTAGATATCACCAGATAGTGGTCGGTATCCATGTTGGCTCCTCAGGAGGATCTGCAACTTATAAGATTGGATCTGTGCCTCCTACTGACCAGGATGTGATCTATTTGGTTTACAGTACTTCCATCAGGAGAGCGCCATGTTCCTTTATGGATGTTTTGTCAGGGAAGAGTTTGCTGCCGACAACTAGGTCCTTAGATGCAGCAAAGTTTATCAGCATTCGGCCATTCTCATTTGTGTCGTTATGGAGACTGTGCATTCCAATAGTTGGTTTGAAGACTAGTTTCTTGCCAACCTTTGCATTAAATTCTGCTACAATGATCTTAACATCACTTTTAGGGCAACTGTCGAGGGTCCTGTCTAACTGATCATAGAATGCCTCCTTCTCTTCATCAGAAGACACTTCCGTGGGTGCGTAGCAGCTGAGAAATGTATAATTATGAAACCTGCCTTTCAAACGCAAAAGACAAATCCTGGGACTTACAGGGATGAAATTTATTACCAGATTTCTGGCTCTTCCCTTTTCTACAAAGCCCGTTCCAGAGACATGTAGATGCTCGTGGCCGCTATGATATATGGTGTGGAACCGTATTTCCAGAACTCCACTTCCTTTCCACCTCACCTCCTACAGAGCGACTAAGTCGAGGTTTTAGTTATCAACTTGTTGTAGAAGTTACCAAAGCAACCCCAGTCTATACAGGGATAAAATATTCCATTGTCCTATTGTTAAGTCCTTTTGGCGAATCATATTTTGTTTACCATTGATCTCTCCGGCTATTACTCTTTAAGGGTTCATGATTTGATTGATTTAAGGGGAACGAGGTATCAGCCTGCTGCCCCTGAGTCAGGTGGAGGGACTGCCTCCTCAGAGCGCCCTGACAAGCTTCCCCATCCTAGTGGCTACCTAGTGGAGGTGACCCTTGCGTGTGTACTGTAATTGACCTTTGTCTGTAGTGTGGGGGTGTGTGAAGTGTGCTGTAGTTTAGAGTACTGTGTGTGTCAGTGTAGGTGTAGGTTCCCCCAACCTGGAGGGCCAGTCGGTGACTGCAGTCTAACATCTGGGCGATGGGGTTGCCACTTCCCAACGCCAAACCAGTCAGCAATTAGACCAGATAAAAGATTTGGTAGACTAGCAAGTATATTTTTTCTTCAACATTCTTGTTGTATTTTATATAATTCGATACCAGATATGAACTGATTCTTATCGGGGAGTCTATCAAAACAAAATTGGCAATCTAGTAGACTTTCTTTTGGGAGACCCTTTATTGATGCCTTTAATAGCTTCATTAGTGGTCGTCGTCATGGATGAAAGTATCTCTTTGACATCAATTTCACTAAGTCGATATGATTTCTGGAACTTTGTTTTTTTTTGTTCCATATTCAAAATCTTTTATACTTTTCTCCTTGGTTAAGCATGATGTAACATATGTGAAGAATAGTATATATTTTGAACTTTAAACAGATAAATCAAATTTAACAACAACATATTATTTTTATCTATATCTCTAATAATTCAAACAACGGTTCCATTTGTTAGTCCATTTTACCATGTCAATAGACATTGGTCAATGTTTTGAAAAAACTACATTATTAAATTTTAGCCAATACTAACATATTAATATAATATAACAATAATTTATATGGATATATCAATGTTAGGTTATTTTAAGTACTTCCAAAACTATTACCTGCTATTTTAAAACGTTTTTATAACTATAATATCACATTTTCAATTAAAAAATCATTGATGTAATTCATAATTTTCTGCAATCATACAATTTAATCAAACCGTGGATAGAAACATTGCAAAATATACATTATGTTACTTAAGAAATTGATAAAAAGTTGGTTGGGATGTTCAGTCCAAATAAAGTTTTACTGTTTCCTGTCTAAATAATCTTGTCTTGCGGGAACCTCTCGTGAATCCAGGTTGGTCTTCTTCTTTTATCTCAATATTCTCCTCATTTACCTTTTTTTCTTTTCCATATCCCTGCGTCTATTTTGTGTATATTGATACAATTACTCATTAAATATTGTTTTAAAAATTTATATAATTTTAACTTTTTATTTCTCTTCTATGTAGTCAGTATGTTTTGATAGATTTCATAGTATCTTAATTTTTCTATTTAAATCTATTATTTTCTTCATATTCCTTTTCTCTGTTTTACAAATTATTACTACTATTATTTTTTTTTCATATGTTCATTACATTATTATTATTAATATTATTTTTTATTTATTTATATTTTTTTTCATAATTTATTAGTTTCTCATATTGTTATCTGGTCTTTTCTTAGCCCTGATGAATGCCTGAACTTTGGGCTGAAGCGTTGGCAAAAATAAATATCATTTATTTATTTTTAATTTGTTTTTGTTTTTTTACTGAACACCCCAACCAAGTTCTCTTCAATTATTCACTACAATCAACCATCAATCCACTATTATAATTAAGATATATTTTTAATTTGGACTTATCCATGTAATTAATGATAAATAATAGATCTTATATATTATTAGTTTTAAATGATACTCTCGAAAGATATTTTTTAATAATAAGATGTTTTATAATTTTTATGTTTGTTCCCCTTTACTTTTGAAATATTATCTATCTAGTTTTCGACAATTTGAGTATTTTTTTTATTTATTGGACCAATTTTAACAGCACCTATTATCTTATTTTCAAATTGATTCATTATACTATTTCTACTGTCTCTTCTATTATTCAAAGATACAATTGTATTTCTATTTTCCATTCTCCGCTTACAATTTCACCCTATGTTGTATTATGGTTGTGCCCTGTTTGTTGTACCTTTTTTCTATGCAAGATAAGATTTGAGCTTACCTTATAATTATTTACAATAAGGGGTTGCTTCTTAATATGATAATTTTATAATATAAAATTATTTTTTATGATAATTTTTTTTGAGTAGTTACATTTTATTGTATTGAGTATATTTTATTATATTAACTAGTATGAATATGTGCTAATAATTGAAATAGTTATTTTATTTATATTGAAATAACATTTTATTTTTTTGTTATTGTATATTTTATTACTTTTAGGCATGTCACCATTTTAGTATCTATTTTTATTAAATCATAAATTAATGTTTTTACTCTTCATATTTTTTTATTTATTTTCTGCTTTTCTTTTAAAGTTTCTATATTATTTAATAGAGAGTGTAAATTACTTATTTTCTGGGTTTAAAATGAAAGATAGGGCATGTGATAATTTTAGATTATACTTTTATAAATTTAATAATATATTTTGTTTATTTTATTTCATTTTTAATATAAAAAATAACTGTTGCTCAATATTAGTTTTAACAGAAAATTATTTAACTATAAATTAATTTCAATATTTTATTTTGTTATTTTCAGAGCAACATTACCAATTTGTGATAATGAAACTACCAGCCATCTTTCAGATGTGCATCACGGGCATAACTATTTCACCAATCTTGCAGGTATTTAATTTTACTTGATTATTTTTTCCTCAGTTCTTGAATTCATAATCAATAAAATTAATACATATATTTCATTGTAATTATTTCTTATTACATATTTATTTTTTTGTGATACCTCCTTTAAATTATAGGCCCTATTTGTATAAACCAATAAATATAAATTTATATGCACATGTTGTATGTAATTTAATGTAATCTGTTCCAAAATATACTTTTTCTATTGTATTTTTAAGAATTGTTCCAAAAACTATACCAGATCATAGACCATCAAAATCGTAGTGTATGGGGACTGATTAACAATATTTGTGCCGGCAGCAAAGGTAGATAGGTTAATAATGACTCATAGCTCGCTAGCTAGGAGAGCACGGTAAGAGTGATGAATGATGTATAAAATATTTATATCACTTGATAAATAGATTTCTTAGTTTTTCTTATAATTATTTTCTTTAAGAACAGTGAAAATACATTATATAATATAATCATTGAAGTATTATAATAAAATTGAAATAGGAGATTAGACTATTAGATTCAGAGATTTGAAAATCTAATTGAAGGAATTTTTTTTTTATTTTTTTTTTTTTATGCTCTTCCCTACCTCGCCGTTTAGGCTATACGGGATTTTCCCGGGCCAGAGGGTGAGGGCAGGGAATTTAAAATCCCCTCCGGCACCGGTACGCGAACTCGTACTTATTTTTGTCTCTCAAATCTTCATATATCTGGTTGCCGGGCAACTCGCGGTGCTATGCACACGCTTTAGCCCATTCGGCCACCCCGCCCCCTGGTTCTCACAGTGTTAAATGCTAACTTACTCAAGCAGTGGATGTTATAGAAGTTGTCTCTCTATCATACTCAGCTCGATTCCCGCATGGACGTTTCCCTCACGACTCAAAGATTCACAGGGAGGTGAGCGACTCCTATTCTTTACACCATTGCTCCTGGTCCTCCAGGTTGGAGGTTGGGCATTAGGCTAATAATGCTATCCCATAAAAAACATCATATTATGAAACTAGAACGAAGACTCGGAAAACAGACTATCTAAACATGGCAACGACCTCAGCTTTGAATCACGGACTATACATTGGATCTTGGAACGTACATAGTTTATAAAGAAGCCTCAAAAATGGTAGTCAAAGGACTAAAAAGGTATATCATACTGTTAATAACCATTCAATAGATAAGATGGCCTGAAGGTGGAGAAACCATTATCAACAGCCATACACTATACTACTCCAGGAGAAATGATAAAAATGTAACAGCCTTTACAGGATTTATAGTTAAGCCAGTGGCAAGTAAATAAATCATAATTTCACCTCGATAAAGGAAAGAATCAGTGTATTACAAGTGATAGGTCATTGATTGAATATCATGATGATTATCCACCAGTGGAAGACAAAGGTGAAGGATGATTTCTACAATCAGTTGGAAAATATTGTGAACCAAGCTCATAGACATGACATAAAATTAGTCATAAGTGACTTCAATACCAAGATAGGTCGATTTGAATGAAGCCCACCAAACTGTAACTATCACTTTTTTTGATGAGTTGGTGACTTTGGAAAATATTCTGCTGTTTCTCCTTTGTCAAGCCAATTTCCAGAATGTCTTCTGTTATCGTAAAGTATCCACTTTTCATCACAAGTAACAATTCTTTACAGAAAAAATCGTTTTTGTTTTGGCAAAGAAGTGTAGCACAAAGTTCATAATGCTGTCGTTTGGCGGTCGTTTAATGTATGTGGAACCCAACTTTCAACTACCATTGAACAGTGCACTCACCCTAGACTTGATTGATGTTTCTGGCCGTCTAGGCCCTATTCCGGCCGAACCTTAAACTTGTAATACAAAATTACACGAAAACATGTATTGACATCTTAGTAAAGCCTGAATTATTTTTAAGCAGCGAAATGCTACAGAGGTAAACAAATATTATCGTTTGGAAGAGGATTAATAAGTGTTGACATTAATACAAATGAGTAATCCAGTAAATGTAAACAGTTTGTTATATAGGGGGTATTTTAAAGACAATTCAAAATCCTGCATTATTTTCTGGACAACCGAATAAAATGGACCCACTGCTAATTCATTGGTTTAGTATTTCTGAATGAACATCAAAATTCTCAGGCAGAAGGCAAAGTGCTCTCTTCCATTCTTCCATGCCTCTGATCATTTCATTTATGAAAAAAGTGCACACCTTTATTTTCAAGATAAGTTCTAGCACTTTAATAGATAAAACTGTAAAAATGTTTTTATTTTATTTTATTTTTTTCTAGGACCTGATGGTACTGGTAGAAGGCATAGCTCTATGGACGAGATTTTGAGTCTAACTGATACATTAACTCTCAATGGTTCTAGGCAAAGATCTCTTAGTGATAGTGGCCCTAATGAAAAAGACGATGATTTGCCACAAAATGGTGAATATAATCAATATCATTACATAAATTGTATAACATTTAATTTTAATTTATTCTTGAAAGATTCTGAAGTAAAAGCCTTGTGTATCATATGTCAAAATTAATTAGTTTACATGACACTATTTCAACAATTCATACATCTTCAGGCATGAAATCTTAATGGTAAATTATAATAGTGAATACAAGCCTTAGGAAAAAAAAATGAAGCCGTGTGGATACATACTGAAAGTTATAAAGGTGTAAGTGAAGATACTATTTTTTCAAACAAAAAACTATGTTTGATTTTTTACAATACAAATCTGATCAAGTTGTTACTGATTAACTAAAAATTAACTGTTTTTACTTTTGAATATTTCCTTACATAAATATGAATATTTCCTTAATAGGTAAACTTCTAGATATCTGGCGATAACAAATTTTTCTCAATTATCACACCTGACCCTGTAGGGAATATGAAAACCCAAATTGAATTATTTGGTAAAGATCTAATAATACAAAGATTTCTTTATTGGGATAATATTTTTAGTTGCACATTTTTGAAGTATAGAAATGAGATCCCAAGTGTTTCCTGTTTGTCTTAGTATTTAAATAATTTTACTCAACTGTAAGGAATAAGGCAGTTTGACTCCTTACCAAAGCAGGTTCACTTCTGGGTAATATTCTGCTGTTCGGTGACCTACCCTACCTCTTTGTTCTATCACCAGTGGTTTTGTAAGGACATTTTTGGTGGTGTGTGCTGGGAGAGGTTCATACTTCATGTACTGTTGATGGTACATAAAAAAATCTCTTAAAATAACAATACCAAGAACAATATCATCATAGAGGAATATCAGCTATTGTTTTCATTGAACACCATATTTTTTTTTTAACTTTATTTTTCCACTCACACGTGCTGAAGTATCAACAACTAGCAAGTGTGATGTCGCAAAGTAGAATTTGGAGTAAGTTATTGGTAAGCTTGATTTAAATATTTGTACTAAGTAGAGTAGATCCCTCGCCCAGCTTCTTTTGAGCCTACGGGTGTTATCGGGCATGTTGGTTGTGGTCATGCCTTGAACCAGTGAGTTGGTATGTCCTTGTAAGTTATTGTAAAGTAATGTTACTGATGTACCAGGAAGCCTTGGTTATAGTCCTGAAAGTTTTTGATTGAAAAGTCTGAAGTTTATGTGTATAGATCTTTTTATACGGTGGGCCAGAGCCCTATAAATTGCATATCCTTGTGTTCCTTGTAAGTATTTATTTTAAAAAAGCCAATGTTTCTAAAAAAAAAAGTGAACTCACTTCCCCAAAATAGCATCCAAACATGGCGGACTGACAACTTTCACTTTAGTTAGTTTTTTGGTCATTGAGAATCAGCATTTGGCTTAATTTCATTGTAGTTAGTCTTTTATTAAAGCTGGATAGTCAGAGAATAACAAAACATGAAAAAATATTAAAAAATAATTGGCTTAGGCAATAAAAAACACCATTAAAGTCAATGTTTTTAACAAAAAAAGATTTCAAGTTGAAATTCAAGCATCGCTTGCAATTAAACTACCAACAACAATGGACAACATGCTGAAATAAAACATCTGGAGAATATATTTCTCTTTCGAAAACACTGATTAATTTTTCAAATATTTGAAGCTGTTCCTTAAAAAATACACTTCAGCGGTACTGGCGTAGGTGCCTACAGCCCTCTACCACACTATTCAGTACTATTTAAATATTTCTCATATATTGTTGCATAGTTGTGAAAATATATTTACATATTACATTGCATTAAAAGTGCATATTTATTCATTTTTTATTTTTTATTTATAAAATTGATTGAAGAGCTATGAATATAAAAACAATTAATTTGATATAGATATTTCAGATTTTGTTGAAGTAGAAGGACCAGATCTTATATCAGATACTCCTCCGGTACCTCCTCGGAGAAGAGAGAAGAAAAGGCACACTCCTCCAAGGCCACTTAGTAACGGATTGCCGCCAACCCCTAAAGTTCATATGGGAGCTTGTTTTTCCAAAGTAAGTCTTTTTTTTTTTTCTTTTTTTCTTATTCTTTTGTCATTATCCTCAAGTTCACTAGCTTCTAATTTGTTGTCACTTATAATTTTCTCAAGGAATTTAATATTTGTTTTAAAAGACAGTTTAGTTCCAGACAATCATAGTTTTTTTCATTTTTGGTAGAAGAAAAAAAAAACTGTAATTTTCAAATAATTTAAAATATTTTTAAGTTTTAAGTAAGATGATTAAGGAAGTTATACAATGCATAATTTTGTGTATGCGAGTGGCAAAATATATTTGAAATATATCTCATTTTCACATCTGATGATGTTTAACATTATAAAATGATGTGGAAGACGATCAGAGGTGGATAAAAGTGAGAGGATGGAAAAGAAAGGTGAAAGAGAGAAAGGAATGGCTTTCAGTTCTAAATAAAACCAATGCCCAAATAGGAGTTTTATACTATTTAGGAAGTAAGTAATTGTTGGCATGTCTTACATGTTTGCAGTTTGGGCCTTTCAGAAGTTTTATCTTCATCCAGAAAAGTCTCTTTATGATTTGAAAACAGGTTACAATTAAATATTTCACAAGAATATTAAGTCGGTTAGAAATAGACAATTGCTAATATTTTTTTAAATTTATTTATTGGCTTATAAACTGTGTAGCCATTAGTCTTCTAGCTTCTATCATGAGATAATATTAAAATAAACATGATCAATTATTAACAAAAATAAGCAATATCAGGCATTATTTATAAAAATCTGTAAGCCAACTGAATATATAAGAAGGGACAACTAGTTTATTTTGTTGGTGAATCTACAGTGAAACTTAGTTTAAATTGAACTGAACAATTTGTTTTATATTAATATATTTATCTTTTTTCCTTCTTATATTGTCCTCATGTATAATATCATGTTTTATACTGTACCTGTTATTTACAAACTAATTAAAATTAACATTGATTGGGCCAGACTCCATGTACCCGGTGGGCCAGACCCCCTTACCGTGCACGCTCCCCCCCTCCACATCCCTATAAATTGCATATCGTTGTGTTCCTTGTAACTATTTATTAAAAAAAAGCCAATGTTCCCACAAAAAAAAGTGAACGCACTGTCCCAAAATGGCGTCCAAATATGGCGAATTGACGACTTTGACTTTACTTAGTTTTTTGGTCACTGAGAATCAGCATTTGGCTAAATTTCCTCATAGTTGGTCTTTTATTAAAGCTGAATAGTCATAGAATAATATAACATGAAGAAATATTAAAAAATAATTGGCTTAGGCTATAAAAAACACCAGTAAAGTCAATTTTTTTAACAAAAAAATTTTCAAGTTACAAATCAAGCGTTGTTTGTAATTAAAAGGCCTACAATAACGCAAAACGTGCTGAAATAAACTGGAAAATATATTTCTCTTTCAAAAACACTGATTATTTTTTTAAAAAATTTATGCAGTTCCGTAGAAAATGCACTTATGCGGCAGAAAAGCGGTACTGGCGTGGGTGCCTACAGGCCTCTACCACACCAATCAGTACACATAAATGGCTTAGTTATAGTGATATAATAATATTTTTGGTACATTATATTGGTTTTATTAACGAACAAATATTAATGCAATAATTTAATTGTAAAAAAAAAAATTTAAATTAAAAAAAAATGTATTATATTTTTTTTTAATTTAACCTCCTTTATTCTATACGTAGGTCATTTAAGAAGACCTCAATTGTAAAAATGATAAAATTATAATAATAAACTTAATTAAAAAATACTTTGCTGAATATCTTCATTTCATTTTATTTAACGTTTGCAATTTAACACTGTGTTTTGTATATTTACTGATTCTTAAAGGTAATTAAAATTTTTATATACTTCCCAGGAAATGAGTCATATTAATACCTGTTTTATAAACTAAAATAATATATACCTAATCTGAACTATATACAAAGAAAAGCTACCGGGTTGTTTAGTAAAACTCATATATCACTAATTAAAAAATTAATTTTTATTTCCTTAATTTTGTGCGGAAGTTGGACTAAGCGGGTAATAAATAAATAGGAAATTTTAATATTGAATGAATTATTCTCTATGCACAAAGAAAGACAGAAAGGGTGACGCTATAAAAGACCAACCATGAGAAAATTAAGCCAAATGCTGACCAAAAAACTAAGTAAAGTCAAAGTCGTCAATCCGCCATCTTTGGACGCCATTTTGGGACAGTGCGTTCACTTTTTTTTGTGGGAACATTGGCTTTTTTTTAATAAATAGTTACAAGGAACACAACGATATGCAATTTATAGGGATGTGGGGGGGGGGAGGGAGGGGAGCGTGCACGGTAAGGGGGTCTGGCCCACTGGGTACATGGAGTCTGGCCCAATCAATGTTAATTTTAATTAGTTTGTAAATAACAGGTACAATATAAAACATGATATTATACATGAGGACAATATAAGAAGGAAAAAAGATAAATATATTAATATAAAACAAATTGTTCAGTTCAATTTAAACTAAGTTTCACTGTAGATTCACCAACAAAATAAACTAGTTGTCCCTTCTTATATATTTAGTTGGCTTACAGATTTTTATAAATAATGCCTAATATTGCTTATTTTTGTGAATAATTGATCATGTTTATTTTAATATTATATCATGATAGAAGCTAGAAGTTATTACTTATAATCAGTTATATTTTTTAAAATTACTATATTTTAAAAAGAACTTTTTGTCTAGGTTTTTAATGGGTGTCCACTACGAATTCATTGCACTGCTAGTTGGATACACCCTGAAACACGAGATCAGCACATTCTGATTGGTGCAGAGGAAGGTATTTATGATCTTAACTTAAATGAGCTTCATGAAACTGCTATGGACCAGCTCTATCCTCGACGTACTATTTGGCTTTATGTCATCAAGGATGTCCTTATGTCTTTATCAGGTTGTTAATTTATCATTCTTCTTTTGAATTTTTTAAATTACTTTTCTAAGTTTTGAAAACCATTTATGTTTTTTTCTGGTTAAATTCTATTATTATTGCATTGACATGAATGTATTTTATTAGTAAACACAGTACTTATTAACATTTCTTGTTATGTAGGAAAAACACCTCAATTGTACAGGCATGATTTGCCTGCTCTTCATGGGAAACAGAGTCTTCACAGGTTTTCCCTTCATATGAATAGAATTCCTGAAAGACTGGTTCCTAGGAAGTTTGCTCTAACTACCAGAGTACCAGATACGAAAGGATGCATACGATGTTGTGTTGGTCGTAACCCATACAATGGCTACAAATACCTTTGTGGAGCTGTTCCTAATGGAATATTTTTAATGCAATGGTATGATCCTCTCAACAAGTTCATGCTTCTTAAGGTTGGTATAATGTAGATATTGTAATTACTTTATTACTTAACCTGTCTTAATTGTATAGTAGTTCTTTTAAAGAGTACCTGAAAACATCTAATAACACAAATTGTGTTGTTAAATGTTAACTGGAGAGAGATGAACAATCATCTAATCCACAGCTCTATGTTATTTTTTGTTTTTCTTCTCCCGAAATTATGGTATTTTATTGGTTTTAAAGACTTGGAGAATGGATAGCTTGAGTTTAGTTGATGAGCGATTAGTTATAGTTAATGAGATTAGTTGAGTATAAAATTGTTTTGTAAAACACTTATGCCATGGGTTTCACTTTATGGAAATATCTCACTTATATGTGCATATTTCATTTAAAATTCACAAAATAACTTCTACATGGCTGATTTAAAAATAAAATATGACACTTTAAGGCTACAATGCAACTGTCACTGACTGAAAAACTCTATTCCCATCACGCACGAGTCTCTGGAATAGGAAGGGTTAGGAAATACAGTCCTTTCCAAAGGCCCACCCATAAGTAGGGGAAGAACGTAGTGTCCTTCCAGAAGAACCTTCTGTATCAAAAGTGTTAAAAAAAACTGCAAGTTCTAGTTAATGATGCCTTAATTGTTATACAATTCTGTATAAAATATAAAAACTAAAATACTTCATATTACATTACATGAATCAAATAAGTAATAAAATGTGCTTATTTGGGCAATATTCCTGTCATTAACATTGTCTTGTATTAATGATATTGTTAATTGTATTTTCAAATTCCAATTGTAATGCTCTATATTCTTGATGAAAATTTTACATTCTTCAACTTTCTTTCTCTTGATGTTTTTTTTCTTAGGACTAACATCCAAAGAGTTGATTTATCGATGAAAATAAAAAATGTAATAAGATGAAAAGTTGTTTTTCTAAATTAATATATTTTTTGGGCGGATGACATGGCCAATCAATATCCCATGATATGCAGGCACAGAGGTTAAGATAGGCAGGGAATGTAGCTCGTAGAAATCCATCTGGAAGCCTGTACATAACAATGAATGCCTCAATAGAAGGCAAAAAATAAATCATGTGAAAGATCAAAAAGCAGATGGATAGATAAAATCAATAAGATGCAATAGAGCTGCGTGTAGATAACTGGAAAGAAATAGTCCAAGACAGACAGAGATGAAGCAGGCTTGTTAAGGCAGCAAAAGATTTACATGGTCTGTAATGCCAACAGAAAAAGGGGGAAAAAAGTTTTAAAAGCTATGTAAGGTAGAAAATAAATTAATTGAATTCTGTGTCATAGTTTGTAAGTTTTAATTTTATATAGGATGGCCTTATGCTTAATTTTTATCACATAAAAAAAAAAAAAAAATCTGGTGCGCGCAACACACAACTTTCACTTACCGCTCTACTTTGAATAGAAATTATTTTCTGAGATTGTTGGGCTATTATAAAAAATTTTAAGTGCATTTTAAACAGAGCTGCAGCTTAAAGCCTACAGATAACAAAATATTAAGACCATTAAAATTACAAAAAGTCTATTATATTGACGGTAGGCATTAAAAATCTAGTTACTCCATCTGCTTTTATAAACCATCTAACTGCAGTCTCTGAGCCTTTCAATTGACTGAATGACTAACTCCTATTCCAACATTTTTGAGTAATGCCATTTTAGTGATATTTCTAGTTGGAAATGTTATATCTATTCAAATAGTGAGTAAGTTGATTGCAGTGTTGAAATATAGGACTGTGAATAAAGGTATATATTTCGCAACTAGAAACATCACTAAAATTAATAATAAACTATGTTCAAATTGGATTTAGTCATTCTGTCAACCGAAAAGCTCATTTATACCTAGAGAGATTTGAAAGTATTGTATATCTAATCTATTTAACCTATAAATGATTATAGATTGTAGGACTATTAGTTATTAAACTGTTATTTTCTATTTTAAAGTTTACTAAAATGAAATTATGAGATTTTCAATGCCTGTCATGGATAGATCAAAAGTTGTCACACTAATTGTAAGTGAATAATGTTGCGATTTCACTAAGGAAAACTCCTCAAATTATCCACTAATTTAATTTTCTAAAAAGTTACTTGATGATGTTTTTTTAATAAACGGCCAATAGATACCTAATTATTTAAATATAATATCATATCTAGAGTTATTAAACTACAGTAAATATATTTAAGTGGTACTTTTTGTCTAGCAGGCCGGACTGAAACCTCACCTCTTATCTATCTTATCTAACGCACGTCACATAACCTCCCTCTTCTTATCCCGCCAAACCTTTCAGTTATTGCATTGTTTAGTTTTCAGTTATTCCCTTATTACGTTCACTTATTAAATTGTTTACTTTTGGTCCGTTTGTGTTTATTTTTAATTATTTTTAGTTTTTGACCCGTTTGTGTTTATTTCACTTTTTTTTTAGTTTGTGGCCCCTTTGTGTTTCTTTTCGTCATATTATGGATCTTCTTAGAATATGGAATTTGACGCCTTCAGAAGAACAGGCACTTCAATATTTTTAAAATGTTGGGTTACTTGCCGACGTGAATCGACGTGTGATCGAGGTCATCGAATGAAGTCAACCAGGAAGGCCAAATGGAGATGCTTTCGTAGGACTTATGACACAAAACTTTCAATAAGGAAAGGAACATGGTTGGAGGGCTCGAGGATTTCGTTTTTAACAGCTTTAAAATTGATTTATGGATGGTCCCATAGCTTGACAACGATGAAGTGGGCCAAAGAGCAGCTGAAACTATTCAACAGAGCTATGGTAACGTGGAACAAATGTCTAAGAGAGGTTTGTGCCCATGACATGTTATACAGGCCAAGAAAAAAAATTGGAGGACCTGGTAAAGTGGTTGAAGTAAAAGAAAGTCTTTTTTCTAAACGAAAAAATCATGTGGGGAGAGTTTTATCTCAGCAGTGGATGTTTGGTGGAGTTTGCCGAGAAACAGATGAATGTTTTATCTTTTTATAAAACCGATTTCGTTTTATATTTTTTTATATTTTTTCTTTTCTATGTAAATATGTTCTTTTAAATGTGTTTTTTATTATTTCATTTTGATATTTTATATGTACATATCTTCTTAAAGTGTTTTTTTTATTATTTCATTAATACATGTGTCGTCAAATAAAAGTATTTTTTTTGTTATTAAATTTGTTTTTGTATCTGTTTACACTTTCAATAATACGAATTTAATACAATAATACGAAGATATGAAGTAAAAGAAGGCTTATCAGTTCTTTATGGGAGTTATCAGTGTTCAGGTTATAAACATTGGCAGATAGCAGTCAGTAGCGGCCCCCTAGACGAAAAGTACCATTTAAGTTTATAAACATATCCATGAAATATTTTTATATTTCATTTCTTCTTTCACTCAAGTACAATGAAATGGTATTTTAAACAATGGCATAGGTTTGATTCGATAGATTTTAAATACTTTTTTTTCTAACTTAGAACAAATTTAAAAGTTTGCATTTAGTAAGAAAATTTCATTTAATTTTCTTTGAAGCATGTGATTTACGGTAAATAATGTTACTTTTCTGTAATTATTATCTATATTTTTTTCGGCAATCTTTGTTACCTTCTACAACTTTATTTATTTTAAATAATTTTTTTCTAAAATTCTCCGCTTTCCAATGACATATCATATGTATACCTTCTGACCATTATTTCCAAAGATTCATTGTCAACCAGGATAAACATTTTTCTTTTTTTCTCCGGTTTCCAATTATCATATTCTTTCAAACCTCATATTTTGCCATTTTTTATAGTTACTGTCAATAAATTACATAACAGTGTTTCAATCTGAAATACTGGCAATAACTCACTGTGCTTCAAAAATGCTGCTTGACGGGTTAGTTGGGAGGAGAAAAGCAATATATACGGACAGTCAAGCGCCCATTCGAGCACTAGACAACTATACAACTAGATCCAAGGTAGTTGGGGGAATTGTGTTAAAATTCTCAACAAATTATCTAGACTTAATAAGATATACATTGAATGGGTCCAGGGTCACTCAGGAATTCATGGTAATGAAATGGCTGATGAACTAGCCAGACAAGGCTCTCAAACGACACCCATAGCTCCCGAACCCATCTGTGGTATTAGTCAGTATCTGGCAACAAACAGAATTGGGGAGATATATGGTGCTGAAAACGAAAGGAACTGGTTATTGAAAAAGCAGACCCACTCTAGACTGTTTCTGGAAGGAATCTGCCAAAAAAGAACTAACTTACTAATTAATTTGAGCAGGAGCTCACTGAAGAAAATTACAGCAACATATACAGAGCACTGTAAACTGAATTATCATATGTTCAAACTCCGGCTCACAGAGTCGTCTCTTTGTAGGTACTGTGGCCGGGAGGATGAGACAGCGTATCATGTCGAAAGCTGGTGCGATGGGTTTGCTGGCCTAAGATTTTGTTTATTCGGCATTGATAGGGAGAAGGATCCCAAGGCAAACGAACTTATCAATCCAGCATTTAAGTTCTGTGAAGTGACATAAATTGGGATAAGACCTAAATGATATTAAAGACCACTTAATTATACAATGCTTCACTGAGTTAAATTTAAATCGTTATGGCCGTTTTTGAGAAAATTGGAAAAATGTATTTCACCATTGATATAAAGTGCCGCTTCCGATTAGCCAATTTTGACGAAAAAGTTGCTGTAACATCTCTAGCATATAAAAACCGTAAATATACAATTTCACTTCCATACGACTTTTCGTTTTTGAGGTAGACTGTTCACATAAACACACGCGCACAGACCATTTTGCTTGGTTATTTGGACTCAGGGGACCTCAAAACATGTATTTCCGTTGAAAACTCGGATTCAAAAATTTTCACGTTCTCAATACTTTGCCTTATTATATATTTCATATATAGTTAAGGGAAAGTAAAAAAATGAAACCCTTACTCAACAAAGTGCTGTGCTGTAATTTCCAAAAAAAAAACTGGCATAGCTCCATGGACATTGGCAGGCAAATACGTCTACCCCTACTCTTCAACACTGTACCTGATATTTTTAAAAGTATGTTGACAGAATAGTTAAAAATAACTTTAAAAAATGAAAAAAAATGTGGTGCGCACAACACACAACTTTCACTTACCGCCTAACTTTGAATAGAAATTATTTTCTGGCCATGTTCGGCTATTATACAATTTTTGAATTGCATTTTTAACAGAGCTAAAGCTAAAAAATTACAGCTAACAAATCATAAATACATTAAAATATCAAAAGTCTTATCTATTATATCACCGGTTGATTATGGATTGTACGATCCATTGATTATGGATTGTACGACTATTAGTTATTAAACAGTTATTTTTCAGTGCAAAATTTGTTAAATGGAATTGAGAGACATTGTCTGTCATAGAAAGGTCAAAAATTATCATATTAATTGTAAGTGGATACTGTTGGAATATCACATAAGGAAATGTCTTCAAACTATTCACTAATTTAATTTTCTAAAAAGTTACATGATGATTTTTTGGAATAAACGGCCAATAGATTCTTAAATATTTAAATACAATATCAGATCTAGAGTTATTAAACTACAGTAAATATATTTAAGATTATAAACGTATCTATGCAATACTTTTATATTTCGCTTCTTCGCACAAGTACAATGAAATAGTAGTGGATACTGTTGGAGTATCACAAATGGAAAATTCATCAAATTATTCACTAATTTAATTTTTAAAAAAGTTACATGACAATATTTAGAAATAAACGGACGCTGATACCTAATTATTTAAGTATAATATCAGATCAAGAATTATTAAACTACAGTAAATGTGTTTAAGGTTTTAAACATAAGCTTTATACATCCATGAAATGATTTTATATTTTACTTCGTCTTAAAAAATGAGTCTGTACTAAAATTAAAGCATTTCTCATGTTTAAGATAATGCATAAAATTGTTTTTTAACAGGTTTAATAAAACTTTTAAACGAAAAAGATGTTGGTGCTCATGAGGAAATCTTTGTTATTCCATTTTTTTTAATGTTTTAAGCTGTGTAGTTTATTGTTTTTAATTCTTTGATTAATGATAAAGCATGAAATAATATTATCAACTATGTTTCTTAGTTTTACTACTCAATGATAAATGACAAATTCTAAATAATAGAGGTATAATCTTTAATGATAAATTAGGTTGTTTTTAATTTTTTAAATACTTTTGTTATTCACCCATTAACATGCTTGAATTAATTTATTGCATTATATGTTTTACTTTAGCATGTTGAATGCAATCTCCCTTTACCACTGAATGTTTTTGAAATGGTTATTACTCCAGAATTGGAATATCCAGTCGTTTGTGTAAGTGTCAAGCAAGGATATCAGCAAGATAGGCTTATTCTTGAACTGATAAATATGAATTCTGGAGCTAGTTGGTTCCACAGTGATGAACTTGAAGATTTAGATGGAACAGGTATGTTATAACTCCCTTAATTACTTTGAATTACTTTCATTTTGTTTTATGATTTCTTTATTTCTAGATGAGACAGACCAAGAATATACGTTATAAAATATATTTTTAAGAAGAAATGATTTACTATATTTTCTTAATTTCTTTCATACTTTCTGTATATTTGCATAGAATTTATTCCAGATCAATCATTTCAAGTCTTTCTCTTTCCTCCATTTTCTATACAATAGATATTAAAAGATATATAATTCAATCAATTTTTTAGTCATATATTTTATGGAACCAATTATGCTATTAATCTGAGTTACATTTAAATACTTTTTTTTTTAAACAACTTGTAATCTATTAATCTGGTTAGCTTTATTTAAACTTTAAGAAAGTTTTATTGCTTAGAGTCTACTTGATCGATTATTGTATTGTAAAGAAATAATTTGTATTAGGGGGACGGGAAAGCAATGTCGTTTTCTTACATTAAATTCAAACACATAAATTTCACACAAGTTTTTATTTTTAATCATTGATGGAATCACCCTCATCATCAACAACCCTTTGCAATCCAGTGTGCAAATCTTCAATGCAGGATCGATAAAAATCAATTGGTTTGTTAGCAAAATATATAAAGAAGGCATTTTGGGCATCATTCAAATTTGAAAGCCTTTTTCCATTTAAAACGTGTTGAAACGATCCGAACAAATGGAAATCCGATGGTACAACATCGGGCAAGTATAGTAGATGATAAAGTACCTTTCATCTCAATTCATTAATTTTTTATAGGATTCTTCTTACTCAGTGCAATCTTGCATTTTCATGTTGCAGAATAACTCTCTTTTAGCTTTGCTGAAAATCACTGCCCACTTATCAATTGATGATTGATTTACACGATCCAATTGTTCACAATAATGGTCTGTGTTCATAGTTTGTTCAGGTTTCAGTACTTCAAAATAAGCAACACCTGGATTACTCTACTAAACATACAAAAGGGCCTTTTTGGGGTGCAAACCTGGCTTAGCAGTACTTTGTGGCGATTCTTTTAGGGAGAGCCATTGCCTTTTGTGTTTTAGATTATTAAACATGACTCATTTTTCATTCCCGAAGATCAAGCCATCAAACACTTCTATATTGCACCGTTGAAGCAATAACTTGCATATGGTGGTTTTTCAATCTGCTGCAAATGTTCTTGGATAGTCGACCAAGGTTAATTAAGACCGGTAGACAATTCCTCGATTATCTGACACGGTTTTGCTTTGATTTCCACCATTATCATATTATTGCGTAACGTTGTTGCCCTTCCTTATCGATAATAGTCGGAAAGATCAAAATTAGCTGATTTGAACTTTAAAAACCACCTTTGACATTTACGAAATTCTAATGCATTCGGATCATCACTAACGTTTTTGGTAGTAACTGTTGCGTTACTACCTTTGCAAAACTGAAAAGGCATGCAATGCCGGATATGTACCTCTTCTGATTTTTGGCTGGTCATTTCACCCAAAATTGCAAAACAAAATTTTGAATTTAAATATTTGCAACTAAAGAAATCACTATAACCTTAGAATGTCTTTGCTATGACAAAGATGTACAAAATTAGCTACCGAATTACAATGAAATGGTGATATGCTCAGAAACGACATTACGTTCTGGTCCCCCTAATATTTCCCAAAACCTCGGAACACAATAAATAATACTCATTGAGCTACCTTGCTCCCAACATAAATCTTATAACCATAAAGTTTGTTATTCCATTGTCTACAGCATTTATTTGCTTGAATGGAATGATCATTTATTATGATTGAGATACCTAATTAATGTATTGCTTTGCATGGGGTTTAATGTTGGTATGTATCTAACCAGGACAGAAAAAATATAGATATTTTTATAAGTTATCAACGTATTCTAGTCAAAGTGAGGAGGATTAATGAATAAAGCTAATACTCTTTTGATGTTTTTTTTTGTTTGTATATATTTATTAATTTCACTCATTAATTAGTAATTAAATGATTTTTTTACAGCTACTGTTATTCCCAGAAGAGAAAATTTGAATATAATCAGTGTATCACAATTAGAAAAGGATGCCATTTTAGTATGTTATTCCAGTAAGTAAAAACTTTTTTTTTTTTTCAACAAAAACACTTTTGGGACATATCCTAATATTAACCTAGTGGTGGGCTCACATTTTGTGCTGTATATTTTGTTTTCATTGCATTGGGTGGGAATAAACAGAAAGTATCTTCCATTGATGATATGTCTAGTTGACAGTGCTTACCAATTATCTGTTGTTTACCAGGTACAACTGTTTAATGAAATTCATACTTTGAAAGATAGTGCTTGAAATTTACTGCACCTAGTGAAACCTTGCACGTGCCTGGTCTTTTGCATAAGAATTGTCCCTCTCCACATTGAATGAGAGGCACAACCAGTGCTGCAATATTATGTTCTAGTTCTCACTATATCTTACACTCTTTATTATAATTTTTTACTCTCCTTTTATTTATTTATTTTTTTCTCGTTTCTAATGGTGATATTAATTTGGTTCGGTGCCTGTCTGTAGTCAAATCCATTTAACGGGCATATCACCTACTACTGTTTATCCGATTTTCAGGAATTGTGCGGGTTGGTGTCTAGTTGGTCCCATATAAATTTTATTAAATTTTAACTAGCACTTCCGCTTATGCTCGCTCAAGCGCTTTTTTGTAGATATGCCAATATTTCAGAAAGTGCTAGTTCGATTAGGCTCTAAGTTGGATAAAAGGTAGGTATTTGTGAAAAAATAATGTAGGGTCAATTTTATTGAATTATGTAAATTGCTTTCTGTTATATATGCACAAATGTGTTTTCCTTCATACGTCTATATCTCTAAAACCGCAAGTTCGATTTGTCTCAAATTTGGAGGAAATTTACCGATTGGTAAATGTAAAATAAAATAGGCATCAATTTTATCAAATTCTATCTACTACTCCAAAAAAAATACTTTTGCTTTTAGATCAGGAAATGTGTATGCGTTATTTGATATGCCTATAGTTTGAAAACATGGCATTCAATTTGACCCAAACTTGGAGGAAATTTGGAGAACAGTATAGAAATTACTTAGTATCAATTTCATTGAATTCCTATATAATTAAAATTAATATAAATAATTGTTAACAATATAATGGCTGTGCAATGTTGAAGGCACTGATCATATGGCGTGGGAGTTAGGTTATTACAATATGGTTATGGGCTTATAAAATTTTAGGTTTTATTCAAAAAATTAATTGATGCTGTATTGTTTGGTCGATTCCAAATATTACTGGCATGACACTTACTGCCTTACTTAGATTTCATGTAATTTAAAGTAATTTTTACTCTGAATTTGTAAACAAAAAAAACGTCTTATTTGTGATTGTGTTTATTTCCATTGAAGTTCAATCAGTTTGTCTTGTTAACTTCACCTATATTTTTATATTCAAGCTTAATTAGTTTTGTTTTCACTGAAGAAAAGTATTGGTCTCGTTAACTCCGAACAAACAAAAGTTGAATTTTTCCTATGGATTTTCTGGTTCCATCTATTTTACAAATTAAAAACATATCTATTAAGTATATATCTCTACTATTTGTGCTACAGGTGACGTTTTGTAGCTTGCAACTGATATAAGCAGTCTGCTACGATGGAGAATAGCATGTAAATTTGGAAAAATATGAAATTATACCAATAAAGCATGATATTTTTTTTTAAGAATAATCAATATGGAATCTTCAAATAAGGCACTCTTTCGCATTTTAATATTAGCTGATAAACGAAATTCATGAATATCAAACCTGCGAATGTTTAAGGGTAACTGTTCCAAATTCGCTTCTCCCATAGATTTTATTCTCATACGAAAAATTGTATACCTTGTAGTATAGATATATCTTAGCCAATGAAACGGTGAGGAAGCTATACTGACGTTACTTGGCAGACATTTTTTTCATAGATTCTGTTGGATAAACACTCCAATTATTGATACTGTTAACGCAGCATACTCTCACATCTCTATTTTTTTTTAACCCCTTTTAAGTGTTAATGATGAAAGGTTTGTTTATTTTTTTTTTTGATAAAAAACGGAGGGACAATTGTCTCAGAAATATATTTAAGTTTATATTATTTGTATATTTGGCTTCGTTTGCGATGTGTTATCGCATTTGTGTATACTCTCCAGCCCGGCAGTAATACCCTATCTTAGGGATTAAGACACAAATACTGCGATAAAACTGCTTGGCAGGAGTCTGGAGCTGTCTTTCGTTTATAGTGGACATCTACCCTCACCATTTTCACCAAGCTCCAGGCGGTATCGTTCACCTCACCAGCGCCATTTTGAGAGGCCCAGCTATGTCATCTCTAGTCGTTGATTGAGATCGATAGGCCTATCGATTCGATACTCCCCAACATCGACTTGACATCGTACAAGGTAACCTCTTTGGAAGAAGATTCTCTAACTTGGAACATTTTTTATTCTCATCATCACCATGGGACATTTAAATATTAATTTGGGTTTTCTCTCTAAATTATCATTTATACTTTAATGAACTCTCAAGTTAATTTTTTTCCTTTTGATTAATTTTATTCTCGAAATTTGATTTTGTTCTCTTGAAGTTATTTTTTTCTCTCTTAATTTAATCTTTGTTATAGAAGTTTTTTATTTATGTTTTGTTTTTGATGGACAATTTTTTATTTTTCACTAAATATTGCATTTATGTTTTATTTTATTTCACTGCATTTGAATAATTTTTTTTCTTCTCATTTGTTTTTTATCTTTTATCTCAATAAATGTTGTAAGCATTTAGAAGGGGATTTTTCATTTTCCATTTTTTAATTAATTGAATATTTAATTTCTATTTAATATTAGTTTCTTGTGCATGCATTTTTCATGTTTTACAGGTCTAATTGTATTCTTTTTTCCTCTCTTTCCCAACATTTTTAATTTTACTCTAATTTTCCCCACAATTGAGGAAACGCACCGGGGAAAGATTTGTACTTCGATTTTTAAGTAGCCCTGGTCCTAACATCTTTTGATATCATTGGCCAAGTCGTCCATTTGGACAATTGTCTCTCCGTTTTTACCCAAAAAAAATAAACAAACCTTTCATCATTAACACTTAAAAGGGGTGAATGGGGAGAAAAATAATACAAAAAAAAAAAAATAGAGATATGAGAGTATGCGGCGTTAACATATACATTCAATGATTTTTCAAAATTGGAGGGAAAAAAAATAAAAATATGGACAAAGTTTTATCATTTTACTAATAACTAATACATACATATATATATATATATATATATATATATATATATATATATATATATATATATATATATATATATATATATATATATATATACTTAATTAATTAATAAATACTTAATTAAGATATATATATATATATAATACATTACTTAATAGGTACGTTTTCGGTTCATGAAATAGATGGAACCAGAAAATCCATAGGAAAAATTCAACTTTTGTTTGTTCGGAGTTAACGAGACCAATACTTTTCTTCAGTGAAAACAAAACTAATTAAGCTTGAATATAAAAATATAGGTGAAGTTAACAAGACAAACTGATTGAACTTCAATGGAAATAAACACAATCACAAATAAGACGTTTTTTTTTTTTTTTTTGTTTTTTTTTTAGAAAAAAAAACTTTATTCTGGGACTAAGTCCCTTCAGACGTGGCCTGAACGTTGAAACAATAAATAAAATTGATAAAATAAAATAAAAAGTAAAGAAAACCTTAGGTGCACAAGCTATATACAAACAGATAAAACTATGTACAGAGCATTTAAAATTATGAACAAAACAATTAAAACTATGAACGAATCACTTGAACTATGAACAAAATTATATTTAAGGGTTGAACAACATAAACATACACTTTGAGAAATGAAGAACGAAAAAGAGATACAATGAGTTCATTTCATAAAAAAAAAAAAAAAAAAAAAACTTTACTTGAATATATATATATAAAAATAAACAGTTACTTATAATTGAATAAAAAAAAAAATAAAAAAAAATGTATGTATTGAAATTCCTACGTCGATAGTAGGAAATGCATGTACTATCTCTTACCAAGTGTTATGATTATATGATTGCTACACAATACATATATAATATCAATAGTTAGCTGGTATCAGACTGTTTTTGGAACAGGAATTGGAATAGGAGGTTTTTGAATGTATACAGGGAAGGGGCATGTCGAATTTTGATCGGGAGGGAATTCCAAAAGTTGACAGAGCGGGCTATAAAGGAATTTTGGAATGAGGCAGATCTATGAGAAGGGATGTATAGGTCAGAGGGTCGGGATCTTGTAGTGAGTGAATGGATTGAGGACTTAAATTGGAGAAGGTTGTAGGCATAAGAAGGACGATGATCGGTAATGATTTGATAAAGGAAAGTGCCAAGGAAATATTGTCTTCTTAAGGAGGGGAAGAGCCACCCTAACTCAGTGTAGTGGTGGGAGACACGGGAGCGTCTCGGGGTTCCAATTACAAATCTTACGAAGCAATTCATAAGTCTTTTGAGTCTATCACGCAGTTCCACCGAGAGGCCATCGTACACCACACAGCTGTAGTCAAAGTGGGGAAAGATGAGAGAGGAAACTATGAGTCTACGGGTATTTTGGGGTAGAAGATGGCGGAAGTGATGGAATAGTTTGAGGGTAGAAATTGCACGGCGGGATATATGAGAGATATGGTGATTCCAGGAAAGGGTTTGATCTATGAGAAAGCCTAAATTTTTAACAAAGGGATAGAAGGTGATGGGGTGGTTGTTTAGATAGAGTGAGGGAAAGTTGGTGTGGGATCTAAGAAGGGGCTTGGAACCAATGAGAATGGCCTGAGTTTTGGCAGCATTTAGCCTTAATCCATTTAAGTTGGCCCAGGCACTAATTCGATCTAAATCTTCTTGAATTTTGGCAAATGCCACCAATAACTCAGCGGGAGAAAAGGATAAATAGATTTGAGAATCGTCGGCATAAAGGTGGTGGGAACAATGGATAATTGAATCATTTAGGTCATTAATATAAGAACTGAAAAGAAGAGGAGACATGCTTGAACCCTGTGCAACTCCTGAGGATAAAG